CCTGAGGCTTCTCATTTTGATGGGACCTCGTTGCACGGTAGATCCGCTGCTACTACCTTCCCCAAAAGATGGAGAACCTCTTGTAGGAGATGGTGTAGAATGTGGAGGAGATGGTGGTGTAGCAAGTGATGGTTCCTCATATAGAGACTCATCAAGTTCATTCACCACGGGTTGATCTTTGGTAGTCTCTTCACTGTTCTAGTTCCATGCTTCTTCTTCATTGAAGAAAACATCTCTACTAACAACTAGTTTCTTGGTTAGTAGATTGTAGAGCTTGTATGCCTTTGACTTCTTGCTATATTCGATGAAAATATATTTTTCACCGCGATTGTCAAGCTTCTTCCTTTTGACTTTAGGCACTTGAGCATATACAACACACCCAAAAATTCATAAGTGTGACACACTAGGCGTGTAACCGCTCCATGCCTCTTGAGGTGTCTTGTTCTTCACTATCTATGTGGGACATCGGTTGAGAAAATAAGCTGAGCACGCAACGGCTTCTGCCCAGAACTGTTTTGGCAATCCTTTATCTTTAAGCATGGTTCTTGTCATGTCGATGATGGTCCGGTTCTTTCTTTCTGCAATGCTATTTTGCTGTGGTGTGTAGGCAGTAGTCAACTGTCTCTTTATACCTTGCTCCATGTAATATTGTAAGACCCCAAAAATTTTATGTTAATATAATTAATGTGAGATTAATTACAATCTATGGATATTTATTTTGATAAATATAGTTAAATTGTGTATGAGTATAATACCATGTAAATTGAGTATGAATGAGTCCATATATAAGAAAGAAAAGAGTCGAAACATGTACAACGGCCAAAACATAAAAAACTAGAAAATTCCAGTTCGATCGACCGACATTATATATATATATATATATATATATATATAATATTTTCACGATATTTTTAGTTTTCTAAGAACCCTAACAGCCATCAAAACCTCTTTAAACCCTAATTTGATTCTTGGAGAAGATTAGAGGCTTTTAAGTAGATTTTTCACGGAATTTTTTGGCGTTTGGCTTGTAGATCTTCTTTGGCTTGGCTTCTTAAGCGTTTTTCTACAAACCCCATGCGAGTTCTGTTGGCCTTCTTGTTTTGATGATGTTTAATAAACAATTACTTCTAATGCTGTTTGTCTAGTGTTTGTATTTTCGTATTTATTCTAGGCAAACAACGTGTTGGAGGATGGATGGAATTGCGCTTCATCGAACATATCTAATGGAGGTTGGTGGAATAGTGGTTGAAGCCTATACAATTCAAGTTAAAGATCCAATTACAAGCTTCATCCGCAAGTGTACCAAGTTGAGCTCATTAAAGACCTTCATCAAGTTTGGGTAATTTAGTTTAGGAGTTTATATTATGTGTGTTAATACCTTAAGCTCAATATAATATACACACACATATTTATTGGTTTTCATGTATATATATTGTAGGCTGTCTAAAAATCACAATAGATAGTTTATCCTCCATCAAACACCGATGATGGAAGTTACAATCTAACGACTTCCAAAAGGTTGTAATCTGAAGACTTTCACGTAGATCGCTGAATGTTACAATCTGACGACCTTCACGACAGCCGATGGGAGCTCTAGTTTAACAGCATTCACAATCAACATCGGGAGTTACAATCTGACGACTCTCATATTCTCAAGGAGCCAAGACGAAGATTACAAGACAATGATCTTTGCAACGCTATGACAAAAGAGATTACTTTGTGATAATCTCTTCAAGACAAGACACGGAGGTCCTCCCCGTGTGTCAACATCAAAACGTCAGGGTCGAGCCCGCGTTACAACATCAAAACGCCATGGTCGGACCCGCGTTACAACATCAAAACGCCATGGTCGGACCCGCGTTACAACATCAAAATGCCAGGGTCGAACCCCGCGTTACAACATCAAAAACGCCAAGGTCGAACCGGCGTTACAACATCAAAACGCCAGGGTCGAACCCCGCGTTACAACATCAAAAACGCCAAGTCAAACCGCGTTACAACATCAAAACGCCAGGGTCGAACCCCGCGTCATAACATCAAAAAACGCCAGGTCGACCCTCGCGTTTTTCTACGCCTGCGGGTACCCAACTCCGGTCTCCAGTCTTAAAATGTGGAGTTAGGATCCTGAACGCCAACGTGGGCATTGTTTGACTCATTCAACATGAGCTGACGGTTCTAAAACCGTTTCCCACGATTTAGGGGCGGTTACACCCCACTTAGGAGAGATTTAAGGGGCGGTTTTCACCCCTTAATCCTTATAAATAACTGAAGATCAATTCAGTTCGGGCCCCTTTTCGTTGGATTTTCTGGGCTTGGATCGACCACTGGAGAGAGGTTTTTGAGGAGATCGGCATCATCCAACGAAGATCATCTTCAACTTCAGCAACAGGGAGCCTCTGTCCTTGGCTTATAACCGATCTTCGGTTCAAATCAACTCTTTTACAGAGTTCTTCTAAACTCGTCAGAGTTCTAAACTTGCCAGCAAGTTCTCCACAACGTCAAATCGTGAGGAGAACATCATTCCAGTGAAATAAGACGTGCGGATCGTCAACGCGAGAGCAAGTTCGACGCAAGCATTCGAGGGAGGCACTCCATCGCCACCCGTGAAGACCAGTTTTAAACAAAGGCGGAAAACCAAATTCGTTTTCCTCTTTTTGTAATCAAGTTAGTAACCCGAGATCAAAGGAATCAAAGTCAAATTTTCTTTATTTTCTTCATTGCAATTTTTCCTACATACATATATAGTTATATATATACATATATGTTTGGTTTGATAGTTTTCAAATTTTACTATGAAACAATTAAATATAATTAGAAAACATATTTTAGTTTCATACTTATATGCATATATATGATTTCATCAATATCAATTTTATTAGTTTCAATAAAAATCATGTTTTAGTGCAATTATATGTTGTATTTTGATAAAACACTATTATTCATTATTTTAGACTCATAATAATAGCTTACATCTTTTTTCAAGTCTATAAAATCATTTTGTAATGTTTCAACACATGGTTTACCAAAATGTTAAAATTCATATGTTTATATTTTTATATTTTGGACTATTTTGTAAAATAATAATATTTCTCATTTGGGAAGTTCTTTTTGAAAACTAGTTTTTGTAGCATGTTTATTATCATGTCTACAATCATTTTTCAAAGTTTTACATTTTTCTGAATTTATTTGATATTTTTAAATAGGGTTTCAAAATTATCAAATACTTTCAATACCTGTATTTTCATATATTAATTCACGGTCGATCGTCACGATCGACCGCACCTGAGTTTTTTACCTGCGGAGTCACACAAAACTTTCACGGTCGACGCGCCACGGTCGACCATCAGCCCGAATTTTCCACGGTCGACCACACGGATCGACCGCCAAAGTCTCTGGAAAATTCTCAGCT